GACTGAAATTATTCTATGATTCTATGAATTTGGTAGTTGTGCTGGAAAAGGGATTCTCACAAGACAAAAAGGTGATTACGGAGATGGCTAATGGGGGTGAGAGATCATGCTGCAAGGACAACTATCAGGCAGAAAGATAGTTTGTAGTGGAGGTTCTTATGGAAAATACTCATTTTAATTTCTGTTAGTGCCATTTGGAAAAGACAGAAGCATGCTAATAACATTTACTAATTATTAAGGGGTATCATCAAAGCAAGATGGGAAGAAGGTGATGGGGTAATAGGAATTGAATAAAATGAAGTGGTACACAGTGCAGGGTCACGTACTTACAAAACCTTTTACTACAGTGGGAACTTCCATTCCTTTACAACCAGGGAGGACAAAGAAAGAGAGGAACCCCATTTTAACAGTCACTGATTATGAGCAACCAGTTTGATATGCACTTGATAATGTGATCCCAGGATATACAAAAAAAAATTGAGCCCTCTTTAATGACAAGAAATTTTGAGCTTGGTTTGTATGACTCTGCAAAAGAAGTGTTGAGAGGAGGTGACAGCAGGCCCTATAAATATATCAGGAATGCAAACATCAAGAGTTATTTTAAGGGGAAAAATAATTTGGCAAGAGAATGAGTAGGTATAGTTTGGCAATAAATAACTTTAGCTTATAAATTAGAAGGTCTGTAATCTTCAGAGAGAGGCTTTGGACCCGTCCTTCAGAATAAGGAGGAAGACACTGACAGGTATCTAAATGACTCTGACGTGGTTACGTGCAATAGCAGAAAACTGTTTCCTTTAATCAGAAATTCCTTTCTGCTTCTGTGTTTCTGTGTCATAGTACAAGGGGATTCCTAAATGTTAATAATGCAAGTAGCAACAGCAATTAGCTATTAATCAATAATATTAATTAGAGACTGGATTGACTGGATGTTGCCAGTGACTGGATAAAACCAGGAGGATGGACAAATCTCTTCTTTGTAAGATAAGGCACCTAAAGGAAAGAGTGCTCATCCAGGCTCGGTTTCAGAGAAGGCTTTACCCAATTCCTGTTCATTTAGGTAGCACTGGTATAATTAATCCAGACTAACCCATTTTATGGAGTTCCTATGATGGTGAGATCAGAATTGGGTCCAGCATCTCCAAACAGGTTCAGAGTATGCTAATTGTCAATATGAAGATTTAAAAATTTTAAACATTTCTTGGCAAAACTGAAACATAACTTTTCTTTCCTGTAAAGCTTCATGAAGGTACAGTGTGATTCCTGGATAGAGATCACATCAGCTCCACAGTAATTAATTTACAGGTTTCTCACTGACCTTAGCTCAGCTCTGGGAATGGTGCCAGCACAATTACAGTAACTCTGAACAGGACAGACATAAAGCTTCTGTATCTACCCTGAAATTGTGCCACATTTTTCTCTTACTCAGTGATGGCAAGATGCATTTCTTCTTTGATTGGTATCAAGTAGTTCAGGCAGTGTTGGCCATAACAAGATTATTTCCAGCAAAGCAAGGAAAAGAAGAAAACTACCATACAGATGTGTGCATACACAATACATGTACTCTGTAGATAATATTTGGGAAGTGTATCCCAAGAAGCAGTCTGTTGAGAAAGTGAGTCAAGGTGACTTGAGCTAGTTACCTAGACAATAAATGGCATAGTTGGGAGTAAAATTCAAGGGGCAGATGCTTGATTCAGTATTGTTTTCACTGAATCACACTACCTTCCTGGAGCACGTCAAGGCCCATTGCCTTCCTTCCTGTGAAGATGGGCAGCTGGATTGCAATGACACCAGGTGGAGCTGAGTGCATTCATCACCTTGGAAAATCAGGCCCCTCGTGGTTATCTCTGATGTTAATTAACCATCGGACCCTGCAAGAGGGGAGTCAGCACATTTCCTGACCTATGGTCTAAGTGTTTTCCAAATGCTAGAGTAAATTTAATGTTGTTGCAGAGGAAATGCTGATGCAATCCACCAGCAGCTGCTGCTGTCCAACATCCTCACAAAGGTACAGTATATACCGGAGGGGTGAGGGGTGAGTGCATGCAAGTAGGATATGCAAAACCCTAGCCTCTTCTAAATGGCACACAGGACTCTGTGTTCACTCCAGAGCTCCTACCTTCCTGCCCTCAAGAGAAACTCTGCTAAGGGCTGCTTCCCAGAAAATGCTGGGTACCATCCTGAACTTAAGCCCCTGAAAAAGCAGGCTTTTGATGTGGGACCACTGAGGGTATGATTGCATTTTCCTAGGTGCCTGATTTATGAATCCTATATCTAAATGCAGAAATGTGGATTTCTCCTAAGTGCGAGTGAGAATGGTAAGAGCAATGTTCTGAATAAATATATTGTGATGAGTCTAAAAGATCAGGTAATTCCTGTGTTCAAACAGGCAAATTTAATTTATGGACAGATGAGTCTCAATGATTGAATTAATCTGGTTTAATGAATTACTGCCTCTCTGTGGAGCTGTGAAAACTGACTGCATTGTGCTTTAGTCCCTTGCTTTTTAAAATAAATTATATTAAGGGAAAGCAAATGTGTTTGGTTTACAGAGTGGAAAGGCTATTAACGTGGTCAGTTCAGATGGCTCTGCGTGTGCATGGTAACTCATTAAACCACAGGAAGTTAATCTTGAACTCTGAATTTCTGATGTCCCAGCAAATTTCCCCTGGAAATTAGTAAGTACTATTTTTTCAAAGCCATATTGGATGGGGCATTGAGCAACTTGGTCTAGAAGGAGGTGTCCCTCCTCATGACAAGGTTGTTGGAACTAGATGATCTTTAAGCTCTCTTCCAATTTACATTGACATTGAGTAGTGAAAAAGGAATATGATGATGCTGTGGCAATCTCTAAATAGAAGATGGTGAATGGTGAAAGAATAGCCCACTGCTGCTCATGGAGCTGCACTGGAGTTGCACTCCTCCACTGACAGATGTTTGACCATGTCACCAGTAGAAGTTGAACCACATCCGTTGGATCCAGATTATGATAAACTTAATTCTTAAATATCTAATCTTCTGACAGCTCTGGTCTGGAAATGTAACCTTTTAATCTGTCGGTTCTTAGGGTTTTTTAAAATGCAAAATAATTTGGTGAAACCAGCCTTGTTACACACCACAAGTTGTATTTTTCGGTCCTCAACACACTGCAGGCATCTGGAATCCCATTTGTGCATGATGGTGTCATTAGTTATCCATCAGACAACAAAGAAGGTTCCAGATGTTGTTGGGAACAGAGATGTCCCCAACCTCCTCCTACCGTCACATTGACTCCTTCAGCCGTGTGATCACCTGCCACCCAAATCCCACACAAGGTCCTGCTTCATTTCCCGTCCCATTCCTGTCCTCGATGCCGTGCCCAGCCCTTCTCTGCCCACTTTGCTCCCGCTGTTTGCACGTCCACTCTTCCCCCTGCAAGCACCCTGCTCTGCTGTTCCCAGCCGGGAAGCGTTCGTGCCTCAGAAGGATTCCCAGGCTCCATTCGCGCTGCTCTCCCGGGAGCGGGCGGGGCCGGCGGCGATGGGGCGATGTGCGGGCGGAGCCGGGGGCCGGTCCAGGGGCCGCGGGCGTTGCCGGGCGACGGGCGGGCGTTCCCGCTGTGTCCCGGCCGCTCTCTCCCGTTCTCCCCGCGGCCCAGCCCACAGGTAGGAGCCGGCCCGGCCCCGCCGCCAGCAGGCACGCCTGTGCGGAGGGGTCGTGCTTCTCGCCCGTGGGACGGAGGGAGCAGTGGGAGCCCGGAGATGTCTGGGGATGTGTGGTGGGCGTGGGGACGGGATTAACGTGGAGGCTGGTTTACCCTCCTTACCCAGGGCTTGTACACCTGGGTTTTAGGGACGTTAGTAAAGGCCGTTGTGGTGGCCACGGTGATCAGTGTGGGACGTGCTGGCTGCTGTGGGACACACTGAGTGGAGCAGGACACGCTGGCTGCTGTGGGACACCTCCAGTATGTCCCAGGGTTTGAAGACCCCACCAAAGCATGGGCATCACTGTAGCAGTCCAGCCTATGCACGGGTGGAAAGCACCTGAGGTCTGAGACTGAAAGTCTCTGTTTATGTCGGTGTCGGCAATAAATCTGGTTTGACAGAATGTCTTAATATTATGTTGATTATTATTGGTGGAGCTCGAGGAGAAAAAAGTTGGTTAATAAATAGTCCTGGGCAGCAGGTGCAAGTTATGGAGGGTATCCCCAGGTGTTTTGTGCTGAGAGAATGTGGCTCCTCCGTGTTGCTGCCTCAGCTTCTCTTGAAGAGCTGAAGAGACTTTACAGTGCTGAGTTTATGGGCTTTAAGCTTTGTTTAACTTTTTGCAGAACGGGCTCAGGTGTGGTCCTTGTCCAGCCCTCTGCGATATGGAGAATGGTTTGGGGATGTACCCACCGCCAGCAAGAGACTCATGTTACTTGCTCCTAGTTTTTAGCAGACAGTAATTAGTTAATTGGATATGTTCAGCTCTCCCTTTGGCCTCTATTTGAGGCCTGTGCTATCCTGGCTCTGCACCTGTCTTCTATAGTTGTTGATTCCTGATACTGGTTTTCCTGCTTGCCTGTTATTTTCCTTTTGGACTGCTTTTACAAGGCAACATTTTCTGACAGTGAAATATATTAAATATATTAAATGTCGTCTTTAACCTTTTGTCCCATGCTGCCCCAATGGCAATTTTTTTCTCTAACACAACTTACTTCTACTACCTAGGAAATGACTGTTCTTTTTGTTCAGTAAATAACTTTTTTTTTTTCCCTTCAAATATGTAGATTCTTCCATATCAACTCCCTCACCTTTTCATGGTCTGCTTGGGAACTGTATTCAGTTATACTTTCATTAAGCTCTTCTAGGCTCCACTGCTTCATGTCCTGTTATACTTTTAAGCCCCTTTGAGTGTGGACTTCTGCTGCTACAATGGATAAAGTACTTTTTGTTATTAATTTTGAAATGCTCAGAATCTCTTGGGCTTGTTTTGGTTTTGTTCTCTTGAAGACTGTATTCTTACTGTTGTTTTAGCAGGACACGGAGCAATTAAATAACAAATTACACTATGAGCACCTGTAATTCAAGATAAATGGAGATGAACGGCTGGGAAAACTAAATTAAAATGTCTGTAGAAGGGGGATGGGAAATGATGCAGAACACCAGTGGCACTGGAAGAAAAGGTAAAATAATTTAAAATGTGCAAATTACTGAAAATGTTTCTGAAGTTTTTTTTTTTAATTACTCTCTCATTTAATTTTATTACTTTGCTTCATTTTATTTTGTTTGGTTTGAGTTTACCTAAAAGAACTTGGATTAAAAATGCAGCGTTCTTGCATGTCAGATCTCAGAATTATTGCGATTAACAGGTTTTGTTGGGGGGGTTGTGGTAAGGTTTTTTTCTGGTCTTTGTATTCTTTCTCTTGACTTTAACACTGAGAATTACAAGGCTTCTCTGGGTCTGACCTCTCAAGGCGTTGATATATGGATGCATCCACCTATGGGACAGCTCAATTTGTTGGTTGTACAATACTGTCAGCAAAAGAGAGAACAGGCTCTGCCCATGGCCTGGGCTGCCTTACACACTTACACACTTCTTCCACAATTCAAGGGACCTGATCCTTGATCCTATATAAAAGCAGGATTCAGATTCTGTGTGAGACCAGATGCGAGTTTAGCACTGGACTGGAGTGATCTTACTACGTATGATTATGATGATGCATATGCTTTTCTAACTGACGTTCCTTAGGGGAAACAGTTAAAGAAATCACATTTATTCTCAAAGTTTGAAGTAGTATAAAAGTTGGTGCTGCAAAATAGTAACATTATGTAATATACCATAAATTTGGGACTGCTACATTTGTCACTAATGGGAATGGCTTAATATTTATTTATGAGGAATTATGAAGAGGTTATTTTTTAAATCAGAAAATTCATGAGCTTTTCACAGAAATTAATTATTTAGGTCCATCTGCATAATTTTAATTTGCTGGTAAAATGGTGAGTGTTTTTATACCTCCTACAGATTCACATGTGGGCTTGAAAAAGGATTGGATCCAATCTTATATTAGTAGGGTCACAAGTATTTGCTATAATACAAATCAGATCACTAGATTTGCCATGGCAGACATAATAAATGCTAATGTATCTGTGTTAAAAGGAAAAGATTGTAGACCCTGGCCAGTTCAAAGAAGCATTATCTGATATTTTAAAAAAAATTTCAGAAAGCATGCATTCTTTTGGCTATAGCTTCTACATCAGGAAGCAGTATTTGAACTATAAAAAACCCCTTGTTTATTTTACATTTTTTGCATCTTAAGTTTTGATTTTTAGAATGGAGTTCTAAAACTACTTTGTTTGTTTGTTTGTTTTTAAATGTTACTAGCATATATAGTGGTTGGGTGTGGTTTTGCTTTATTTTAATAGAGTACACAAGTTCAAAGTGATGAACGTGAAGAAAAGAAACATATATAGAATGAAGGGCTTTAAGTAAATTATTGTTATTTCAGAAAGAGCATTCAGCTGTTGTGATTGTTCTCTGAAAATATCATCTTGCAGCTGCTCAAACAGACAGTGTTAAAACTTCTGAGAATAGGAATTGAAAACAGTGGAAATTCATGTACTGTCTCTGGCCACATCTTTAAATTTACATGCAATACTGATCATCCTAGAGGGTAAATAGCAGAAATGAAATTGATTCCATGAAATACTTCAGATAGGAGATGAAAAACCGAGATGATGTCAAACAAAGCTATAATTTAATGGATGGCATGGACAGTGGGATGTATCCTCCCTAATTCTAACTGCTTTTGACCTAATTTCTAATTTTAACCTCCACAACAACCTATGCCAGTGTCTTCCACAATTTAAATAAATACAGTGCAAAAATGCACTTTCTCTTTTTAAAAACTACTTCCCAATAAAACTTCTGTGTTGTCTTTAGTCATTAGATGACTATTTGTCATGTCTCAATACATGATAAATAATTGCTTCCCTGTATACCTCCCCAGCTATTGAACACAACACCTTTGGGATTGTGAAGATTGAGCAGCTGATTGCCAGAAATTCCAGCAGTATGCCAGGGGAAAGATCACTTTGGACTACCCCTACTTCTGATACTGTTTTTAAAGGATCTGATTATGCTACAGCAGTTAGTTCAAGATCTGTCTTGACCCAGCAGGACAGTTATAATGCATCTTCATCAGTAGCCTAAATTGATTTTGCAAGGTCCTTTTTACTGTGAGTTTTCTGCTGATGCTAAAATTTTAGGAATCTCTGTTACTAAATAAGCTCCTGCAGCATCTTCTACTGTTTAGTATTTTTCTACAAGTTCAGCTAAAATCTGTCTCTTTTTTTAAAATCTATCCCATGTGAGCAACACATTGGAAATCAGAAACAATGCAGCTGCTCTTCAAATGGCTTTCCAGGCCTTGTAATCTCTTGCTTCAATTAGCCTAATTACCAAACAAAATGGACTGAAAATTGTTTGAGGACAACCAGAGCACACTGAAACTCAGAAAAGCCATATATGATGCGTTTAATCCTTCACAGAAGTTTGTTTTTCAAAAGACTCATAAATACAGTGCAACAGTAGCTGGAAAAACGGTCCATTTTTGCTGTCCTTTTCTTAGCTGGAATCTGGGAATGCTTCTAGATGGGTGGGTACTTCAAAATGCTTCGAAGACCAAAACCATAGAGTTGTTCTTCTCTGCAGCTTTGGATTGTCACTTGGCCCTGAGTCCCTGGGTTAGAATATATTTGTTGATCTTGAAAAGATACTGATTTTGCAAAACATTGCTTTGTGTATGTCTAGTAACATGCTTAGTATCTGCAACCCCTGTTGTTTGCCAGCGACCCCCACATCATGCTACCTGCTTTGCTTTTCTTGTCCTGACTGTAGGGAGGAATGGGAACAGACAGTGGAAGAGCATCTTGAGACATGTTCTTGCAGCAGGAAATTCACCTATATATGGAAAAAAACCCCCCTTAATCTGTAGCATCTTGCAGTTTCAGCTAAGGATTTAGATAATCCATACTCATCCACAGCCACTGTATGGAGACTTGCACTGCAGAGAGAATCAATGAACATTTGTAGACAGATATTGCCACTGACCCCCTCCCACCACAGGACTCTAAAAACCAAAACCAGTTGATGGGAATTTGGTTTATTTTTTCTTTGACATGTAATAGAACATATAATAGAGAGTGATCTGCTTTTTATTCTGCTACAAGAACGTTTTATTGAGGAATACATTTAATGCCAGTAGCTGGGTGTGCATCTGCAGTGTGAGATGTAGCTTGTGCCCTGGTTATGGGTAAATGTTGGGAGCCTCTGGCAAGGGGCTGTGATCCGGCACTGACCCTTTGCTCTCCAAAGGGCACGGGGACCTGTAGCACTGACTGGGGGTGGCTGGTCACCCAGAGACTGTAGATTCCAAACAAGCAAGAAGACCCCAGACCAAATATCACCATTGGACCAAGAGGCCTGTGAAAGGGACGTGAAGAGTGTGTGAGGAACAGGTCAGATGCACAGACTGTGAGGGTGCAAAATGCCAGGGATTCCTTTGTTGGGGGTCCCTCCCTGGAGCCACCAGATCGAGCTGGTTTTGTGTTGTTGCTCCACGATTAAATTACTCTAAGTAACCAGACTTCTGAGATTCTGCTGTGGGAAACCCAGGGTCAAGCTGGTAAGGAAACCTTGTCTGACTGTGTGAGTGTGGAGTGTGCAGGGAGTCAAGTGGGGCACCTGTCAGGTCACTGGAGCCAACCCCTGTGAAGGAGCTTCTGTCCCAGCAGTGAAAGTCCGGGGTGGTAGGAGTGTGACTGGCAGAGTGGCTCCTGGATGATCAGACAGGGAAGTTTTCTTAACAATTTGACAAGCTAGCTCCAGAATGATTTAATATAGAGGCATTTCTAGCACATATGATAAAACACTTCTCATCACCCTGCAATCTTCTCAGCATGATCTGGGAAAGTATTATACATGCAATTGTAATTATGCAATTTGTAGATATGTAAAGGAGAAACAGGTGACATTGAAGTGCATTGCCTTTTTATTTATTACTGCAATGTTTTTAAAGAATATTAGGCATATTTTCTCTCAACAGGGTTGACTCAAACCTAGTCTGGCTTTGTAGCACGCATTTTCTTCTCTGGGATCACTGCTGCTTTGGGTGACAGCACAGTTTGGACTCAGCTCTGTGCATGGGGGTAATAGAAAGTCCACGAAGCTCTCAAGAACTTACCCTGAGGACTCTGTGGGACATAAGTCCCAAGGCTTACCTACCATGGTCATGCTAATTGTAGAGCAGGATTTACATGCAATAGCAAAGGACTGTCATGTCCTCTTACAGCTTTTAAAACCACAAATAAGAATGAGACAAATGGGTACACTTGCTTTATCTGTAAATTTGGGTGCTTGAGCCAAGGCTTTAAATTGACTGAAGACTTACACAAAACTGTCGTTGTAAGCATTCGAGTCATTTGGTGCCTTTAATGTCAGTGAATTTTTATTTATCCTAAATGGGACATTGATATCTTAATATTTCAGCATTCTCTTAAAAGCTTTTTCTCTGTAGTGGGGCACATGAGTGGAATATTTATGAATACTCTTTATAGTGTTTACATGATCCCATGATATTAAAGTAGCATTACTGAAGTAGTCGTTACCTCCTTCTGCTTAACAAAAGCAGAAGATTAGAATCAGACTGTCCAGTCATACACAGAAAAAATTTCATGTTAATAACAGGTCAGATGTTTTATTTTTCAGCTTTTTGGAAGTCACACCTGCTAAAATAGACTGATGTGTTGCGGGATGCTTTATATTACATAAATGTTGCAGGAACTGTTTTTGCCATTATGGGTGGATTATTGTAACAGTAGTTTCCTGATGACATCATAGTAAATTCCAGCTGCCCAAACAGTTATTTTCCAGAAGAGGTTATCTGCAGTGCACTTGCGCAAAATTACACTTAAAAGGGCACTCATAGTTCCCTTGGGACTTATAAACCAAACCTTTTGTCAAATCCTTAGTAAACACAGAATTCTTTGTTTTCATTCTGTGTCAGTGGTAACAGTATGGGCACTACTGTAATTTGTGATTCTGAATTAAAAAGATAAAAATTATACAAGACAAGAGAAATGTAAGTCTTCAGTGCAAGCTTCCTGTCGTGAAGGGATACATAGCACAGTCATTCTCAAATGTGTTTTTCCTAGAGAATTTTTGGGCTGGTGACATACAGGTAAGAGTCTAGAGATTGCAGAACCCCCACTGAAATGGCACCCTCCCTGTCCAGTGAAGGCATGAGTAGCCACAGAGCAGGAGAGGATGATGGCTGAGAAGCTGGCCTAAGGCAGTAGAGATACCTTTTTGTATGGGATATTAATATATGGAGGTATATGCCTTTCATAGGCTAAATCTGGATTGATTACTATTGTTTGATATTTTGTTTGTTTGTTTTTAAACATTCCTTGTCACACAATTCAGAGGATCTTTTCCACTCCTAAGAAGCCATAATTAATATTGAGTCAGACATTTGTGGCGTTTGCTGAATTTGAAATGTGTATTAATATATATTTAATGAAGAGTACACAATCCTACCATTGACTCTTCAGTGAATCTTGCAGCAGGAAAGTAAAATCTTGGAGTTTTACTAGTGTCAGACCCTAAGAACATCAAGTAACTCTTCTCTGCCAATTTCTTTCTAGCAAATTACAGTATTCTGCGGGGATTTTCAAATTACAACTGGTTCCAAGGATCATTAAATTTTAATAATGATCTTTCTTAGTGGTATTTATTTATGTTGAAAATGTCCTGCAGTTTTTAATAGACTTTCACAACATGTCGGAGATTTGGGTAGCTTACCATGATCATGCACACTCACTTTGGTAAGGAGAGTGGCAGCAGTGGAGAAAGTTGTCAGGTTAACAGTTTGTGGAGTTCGAGATCTTCCATGTTACTACTCTGGTTGTTAATTTCTCCTGCACTCAATTATTATCTGCTTCTAGTTATCCACACGTGTAAGAGTCCACCAAGTCAATACCTTTGATTCAAATCCTTCAAAAACAAATTCTTTGATTTCTTTCATTATTTTACTCTTCTCAGTGTTCACATGCAAGACAAAACTCCATTATTTTTTGTCTATTTTCCCTGTCCCTGAAACTCATCTACTTACTGGTATTGCTTTGCTGTCCCACTGTCGTTGAAGGTTTGCACTGTGTGCAGTTAACTTCCATCCTTGTTGGTCCCACAGTGTCTTGCAGGAATGGTCATTCCTTCCAGCTCATACATCCAATGTATATCCTATACAACCATCTTCTCCATGGAGAAATTCTTCAGGTTCATGACCTCTCAGACCAGTCCCTATAAATTGTCCCACTGAGGCTAACACTAGTTAGGGTCAGTGGTTGCTTGTCCAGTGCATTTGACAGAGCCATAGGTCTATCATTTGGTTTTTAGCATTTTAAATGAGTGGGAGAGGTGGCTTTACTGGAGTGGTTTTACCTGTATCAAAAAGTCAGGTGGACCTGAGAAAATGAGTGGTATGTCCCCTGTATCTCTGGGAGGATGAGTGTTGTGCCAGGCCCTCCTCTCGCTTCTGCACAGTGCTGGAGATTTCAGAGGCCTATGGATTTTATGTAAGATTGGCACCTCACCACTAGGATTCCTGCACTCTTAACTTTTCTGTATTCCTCATTTTGAGAATGATATTTTGATCCATGTTCAGGAGAAGATTATTTCTTCTCTGGAGAAAGTTTTGAAGTGATGGAAGCATTTAAAAAATGGTTGACAATAATTCAACTTGATCCAAGGCAATTTGTAATGAAAATTCTTTTCTCCTCACTAATCTACTGTTACAGTAATTGCAAGAGCAGATCAATAGCAGGAAGTATAAAACAACGTGTTACTTTGGATATTAAGCCCTAAATTGATCTCCCTGTCAAGCCTAAAGTAAGTGGTATATCAACAAGTTTCAAAGATTTGAGGACACTCTGAAACGCAATAGTGATGGACCAACAGAGGGAGAACAATAATTTGTTTTATGCAAGTGAGTTAACTCTTTGTGGCCCAAATCTGCATAATCCTGCGATTATCTCATTATGTTTTGCACTCACACATTACATCTGTGTTCTCTGACTGTTGCTCCACTTGGCTCTGGTAACATACAGGATTATCTCTGGATAATAACAATCCTCACTTGAATTAGAAAGAACCACCAGTACTTGCACATGATCCAACACAAATCTTGTGCAATTGGCAAAGTATTCCAGAATTTATATGACAGATATTCTACTCCAAGTCAGTTATTGACCAAAATAATTCCTTCTTAGGAAAATAAGGACAACTCCAGAAGATCTTCCTGGCACAGAAGATTCTTTAGTTTCCTTGGACAACTGATGACTGTTGCAGCCCTTATTGACTAAATCATACTGATGCGCTCTAAAGAAATCAGAGGACAATCTGAGAAATTCTAGATTTCTTTGGAAAAAGAAACAGGTAATAGAAATGTATGGGTTGTAACTTTTCTTTCTAAATGTAAGACACATAGTGTTTTTGAGGTCCGTCCTAATGGGCAGAAGTATGAAAATATGGAAGTTGACTTATACTACTATAGGCATGCTGAAGTTCTAGAAGCTGCAAATATCACTGCTCAATTCACTTATGGTGGTTATTTTATAAACCAGTAAGAAAGATTGAAAGTTATGTGTCTCTGAAGAATTTGTTCTTGAATATGTTTTTAAAGCATTGAATATTGCTGTGGCTTAGATGTAGCACATTTGAGAAGTCAGCTTCTCCTGTAGGAGTGCTTGCCAGGTATGTGCAGTGATCTGAAAATATAGTTTTTGCTTTCTGTGGGTTTCCTCTCCCCTGGTGAATGTATGAAAGGAGCACTTAGGAGTCTGAGGGTTTGATTCCTCCCTTCCTAATGCGAAGAGATTCGGTGGATCATTAATTTTTTGTTGCTGTTTTTCTTTTAATAAGGACTGCTGTTTTTGCTGACAGTGCTGAGTCCTTTGAATTGACTTTTCTTGTGCAAGTGAAGAATTTTGCCTGGACATGAGTAGTCAGAGCAAGCAGTCTCTTCTATCTAAACCTCTCTCACCTACTAACATGACAGTCCTCTGAAGCAGAGGTGACTGGCTGAGCAGTGAGAACTTCTTCTATTTGTTCTAACAGAAATTACTCCTGTGTTTAACTGTGTATGAGGGGGAAGGAAGGTGGTAATTCTCAGGTCTTGGCCACCACTGAAGCTTTGTCAGCCAGTTATGATTAGCTTGATCATTTAATTACTTTTCCAGCGCTTAGACTAAGTATTGCTTCACAGTGGAGAACAGAACAAAACTGCAGGTGTCCCTTTAGCAGAGCAAGACGGCTTTTCTCTAGTCTAGCCTTTTGTTGTTACAGCAGTGCTTCCAGCTGTGATACTTCCTTGCTGCCAAGTAATAGTAAATAGCTGTATAAATCATAGTAGTGCTTGTACCATTCGGGAACAGCCAATTGCTTTTTGCCTCTAACAAGTGTACATATGCTTACTCTCATATTTCAAAGTTAATTGTTAATATTTCTGTGAAAGTAATGGCTTTGGGAATTGAAGAATGAACACATTTGAAGTGCTTCTTCTTCCAGCTTTGTATTTCACTCCTCACTTAAAGCACACACAGTTTTGTTTAAATTTTATTTTACATTTATTTTCTTCAAGACTGTCTTCAAAATGAGAAGTCAGTAGCCACAGCCTGCCTGACCTAGAGTCAGTGACAGTGCAGGTATGTTTAATTTAGGACAGCAAATACAAACAGCTTCTGTTCATGCTACCTGCAGGCAGAGCTCAAAATGTTGGAGAGAAGTGGTGGCATGTCTTGATAGTGGCACTTGCTGGAGCCCAGCAGAGTTTTGCTGAGTGCTGTTCATGTTTCTCAGGAGTGAATAGGTAGGTAGGAGGCCCATGTGGATGGGAAATTCATTGCCACTGGAGAAGGGTAAGTGGAATAGTGACAAGACTGGAAAGAGCTAGTATCCTGAGTTGTTTGTTCTCTTCTAACATCCTTGTACAGAGCTATAGGTATGCCTGGCTTTTTGTATAACTGCAAAGAGTAGTTTGCTTTAAAAAGCCTACACTTAAAGCTTAATGAGGTGTGGAACTCTGATAGCTCTTGAGGGTGAAGAAAATGAAGAATATATGTTACATGGTGCATTGCTTTGGGGTTTTTTCTGATTAAAGAAACCTATATCTCCATAGGCATTTGCTGTCATGCAATGGCAGTCAAAATAGGTTTTACTAAAGGGAAAAAAATAAATACAGGTAAAAAAGTCAGACTGCTTGTTATCCTTTTGTTCAAAGCATGTTGAGATGGACCTGAAGTGGAATCCTGACAGAATTTCTCATCTGGGCTCATCTGGAGTCCAGGTGACTGATTGGAATTGGCGAGGCAACCGAAATCCCAGTCCACTGATTAAAGATGATGGAGAGCTGCTTATGGAGGAACATCTTTCCCCCAGGAAACTGGTGAGTAGGCATCCAACTTTTTAATGAAGTGGAAGAGGCAAACTGGCATATACAGAGCTGCATTAACCTTCCAACTGCTATTGTACTGATTACAGATTGTTGTCTGTCTGACATTTAGACTTCTGCGTGAAGTAGATTCTGTCTTATGAAAGTGTATCAAGTGCTTGTCCTCCTTTCACCTTGTTTCATATCAAAAATACTCCCAGCATGAATGTGGTTGTTTTTATTGCTAGGTTTCTTGAAGCAGCGTGAAGAAAAGTACAGGTAGCGTAATTATAATCTACTCAGATCTCATTAATGCCATCCGGAGTACCTTAAATCTTAGCATTAGAAAAAAAATTTACATTAACCTTGTTTTAGAGATTGGAAGTGTAACTTGAAAAGCACAGCTTTTTTTTTTCTGAATTAGTGAAATCCTCTGTCTTGCTAAGAAGGCAATTAAAATACTCTGCAAATGCTAAAAGTACTTTGTATGTATATCAAAGTGTGTGGAATTTCAAAGCATATTTGAAAGCCATGTTCCTTTTTGACTGGGGGAAATTATTTTAGTGTGCACCCAGTTGAAAGAAAGTAACATGCTGAAATCTTCATGAAGGAATTCACTTTGTGAAATAGTCATGAAAGAATACTTGGTTGCATATTGTGTTTCGTTTGCTTAGGACTAATTAAGGGTGAAATCCTGTGGGAGGTGCAGGAGCCAAGAAAATAACCTCATTTTTCCCCGCTGAAGGAAGGAGGGCTGAGAGCAAAAATTAAGGGGAGAAGCTTTCTGTGCTGCAGAGCTACAGAGGAGTAGCTCTTCTGCTGGGTAGGATTCATGAAAGACAGGTGGGGCTGCCAGGACTGTGGTTCAGATGCTGGCAGGCATTCCTATGCCAGGCAGGGTGGTGATGGCAGTATCCATAATCCTCTGTGTATCCACTGCACCAGTGGAGAGACATGAGCTTCCACAGGGAGCATATTCCAGCTGCAATTTTACACTACTCCCTGACCACATACCAGTCACCATTTTGACCATTTGCTGTAGATTAAACAGCAAATTGTTCTCAGAACTGTTATTCCCTTAGTAACTAAGTCTTTTAGTGTTTGTGAAATGCTTGGAGATGCAAAAATCATTTTCTGCAGAGTGTATATTTTAAGCACTTTGGAGGAAAGTTGCTACATGATTGTATGATCTATGCCGTTCTCTTTCTTTACATTCATGGCAACTTCTTGAACTGTCTTTAAAACCTGGCATAGAGTTTGACCAGTCTAATGTGTTTGTGGCCTACAATACTCTGTATAATTCCAATGGGAACCTCTCAGATTAGTCTCTATTGTTGGGTGTGAACCAAAGCCCATTAAAGTAACCAAAACAGCTGCCCTCTGATTCAATAAACTTTGAATTAAACCCTTAGAAAGTTCTTTCATTGGCATGAAGTTCTCTTTTTGAAGCTCTGCTGCTTTAGTTCATAGTAAAATTGTAAGCAGAAAAGCGTATGTAAGACAATGTGACCCACATCCCACGACGTTAATGTTCATTACTTTGTTTTTTTTTTAATGCAGATAAATTAAATAATTGAGCCTTTACTCTTTAAGATTGTGTGTTTTAACATTTGTAAGGAATCCTGTTTCAGAGATTCTTTTAAATGGATGCATACTCTTCTGCTAATGTTTTGTGGATAGTTATTTCCTGCCCTGGAACATCACATTTGTGTTGGCCTAGCTGGGATACTTCCTGCTCAGAGGAAAAATTACATGACATTGTCAAGGAAACATTTACAGTGTTAGAGTTTGTTTTAATAACATATCCAGTCTGTCTATTCTTTGACCTTTATGTTGATCAAATGGAAATCACTGCTTCCATAAATTCCCTTCCTCAGGACTTGCAAATGTTCAGAATGTTGAAACATTTAATGAAACAAGTTTTCACATTTCACAAGTTTTCATATTTCTTTAAGGAACCACATGCCACCGACAATCAAATGGTTTGAAAGGTTGTTTTGCTGAAATCAGTACAACTGCAGTATCTTCTTGATTGTCTCATTGTTGTGAATATTTTAGGAGTTACTGATTGTATTCACTGAAGTGCTCTGAGAAGGAAACTAAGACACTTTTAAAATACATGCTTGTTAAAGTAAAATTATTTTACATTCAAATAAGGATGTGGGCCACAGTTCTACAGTGTTGTGTAGGCAGATATTTGGACACCTGATGGAGGTTCTTGAGGAAGGTGTTTGTACTGAGATACATACTCAGCTTTATTCCTTGCCCTTGCAGTGTTCTCTCTTGCACCAGCTCAGTTGGAGTTTTGGGGAGGCTGGAAGGTCTAGCTGTGCAGAATTGTGAAGATTGGGCACCTTCATTGCAACCTTGTTTCTACCCGCACATTTGACTCATTTTGTCCTTTTTACCAGGGGAATGACCATCTATTTTGTAGTGAAAACATCAGTCTCCATTATCAGTCCTGATCTTTAGGAACTCTCTCTAAAAGCTGTAATACTTGTATCTCTTCACTTTTTTATCCAGTTGCTGGGTTGTTTCCCTCCAAGGAAGGAAAGCTTAGCTTACACCGATTTTTTTTTTTTCTTTCCTTCTTGCCTTCTTGGACCCTGTAGAACTTCTACAGAACCACTGGGACGGACCTTCACCCATTCTCCTCTTCTCCATAGTGGATCCCTTCACTTAGACCTTATGCTCATTCACTGCAGAGCTTGGTCTTCTGTGGCCTTGTTTTAGCATAATGTTCACTTCAAATCCTGTATGATTCCATATCCCTGTTATGTTAATCACATCATCCAGTTTCTGCTTGCTGCCAGCTCTGTTGCTGTGCTATCAAGTAACACCCTTTTATATTTTAATGTTCTTCATCCAAGCTACAGGTCAAAAGCTTTGGATGCAAGGATTGGTATCATGTGATGTCCTTTTTATTCTTTCTGCTTGTGTCAATGTCAGTTTTCTCTTGTACTCTTCAGTCTTCCTCTATATGAATAGGCATTCTTGCTTTTTCATTTGTACCTGTCCTAATAATATTTCCAACTCCCTGCTCTGCTTGTCGTTGTGCTTATGTGTTGTTGTCAGATATCGCAGAATATCAGGGTGAGCAAATTCTCACTTGGTTCTGCAAACTGCCTAATAATAGGCAATTAATTTTTAACTCTAATAGGAGTGTGGCACAGATTTTTCATTAAATGTGGAAAAATTGAAATTAAGGGTACCACCTGTCTTATTCACATTTTTGTTTTGCACTATTAACCCCCATCTTCTCCCTACTGTTTGCAAAGGATCTTTTCCTGAATTCCACAGAATGCATTCCACTTCTCAAAAGAAACCCATTTTACAAGGTCAACTGATCTTCCAGATATTGCCACATTATAAAAAACAATCACGTTTGTGTGTGATCTTTAGGGAAGAAAGGAAGTGTTCTCTAATTTTGCTATTTATTGATCCTGCTCCAACTAATCATGTTTCCTAAACTTAGGAACACATGTTCGGAAGTGGTGTTTAGTTTTGTTGCTCAGGAGGTTAGGGTGTATTTCATATGGCATGCACTCATCTTAGTGGGGAAAAGAAAATGCTGGAGGGTCCTGGAATAACAGATTGGATTCTGGCTGAAATGACTCGGTCATTTCCTTTTTTCTTTTGCAGAAAGTTTTTTTGCAGAGAGATTACACTTGAGCTGAGAACTTGGGGAAAAAAAAAAAAAAGGCAATGAACGCATGAATGGACATGAGTCCAGTATTTGCATACAGGTGTAGTATTAAAAGAAAACAAGCTCACCACTCAGGAATTTCTGTCTTAGCCAAATTAACCAGGATCAGCAAAATAAATGCACAGCTGGAAATATTTCTCTGACAGCTGCGTGCAACATGCTCCTCAGGAACATACCTACTTTTCTTAGAGTGTGTGAAAAATCTGGGGAAGGGAGAAGACATCAGTTGTATATGCCAATTTTAACTGAAAAAAAATATTATTTGCCAATTAAAGAATTTACAGATAGTTGGAAGTGGGACTTCCCAGCATGCCAAGGTGACTGTTCTGCCAGTTGGGAAGCTCTGCAAGCACAGAAGTGTTTCTCATTTGAAATTTTTACAGAATACTTACTGGCTTGACTTGTCAGTCTGAGGAAAAGCTTTCCAAACCAGCGCATGCTCTCCAGTTAGATATTGCCCAGACATTTTGCATGGTGGGAATGGTTTGTGAGTGCAGTTGCTTCTTAAAATACTGGCTAAATTATTAGCCAATAACTTCTGAAAAACAGTTTTACTCCTATTTCACAGAAGGTGAAAAAATGTAAAGTGAACTTGATTCACCTTTGTTTTACTTACTGTGTATTCATCTTCAAAGAATTGTGCAGTGCTTTACCATTGACATCTGTCCTTTCAAATAAACAAATTTACAGTGGAGTGTAACACTTGCTGCTCAGAATCAAGCTGTCAGGCCATCTTCCTGAACATCATGTTCCAGAAGATTTTAATATTTGATTCTTCAGAAAACATCCTCCTTCTCTGTATAACTGATACCTACATTGCTGGGTTGCAGGTGGGTGCCAAGCAGAATCCTCTCTGAACACCAGCAGTCAGCCTGGAATTATACTTAGCTTGTTCAAGGTATATTTTTGACTTGAAGTAACTGAGTATATCCTATTCTTTGCCTAGAACAGATCCTTAGTTCCTTTTTGTTTGTTCTACGTGGAGGCTGAACAGCTGTAAACAGCTAAAGAAATACCTCGATGGTACAGCACCTTCATGTCTGTAAGCACTCCTGGGGCACAGGCAGGGACATTCAGAACAGCCCATTGAGCTGTGGGCAGGCAGTCATTACCTGAAGCCACAGTGGGACTCCTCTGAATTAGGGCAGCAGCCTGTCCTAGACCTAGGATAGCCCTAGGAATAAAGAGACCCAGAGCACCATAACATCATTTCTATCTATGTGGTGCCAGACATCTATCTGTCCAAGCTGATGACCCTTCAGTGTGTTTGGTCATGACTTTTTTTCTCTTGTTACCCAATAGCATCAAAATTCTTCCTATATATGCATCCTTTCAAATTTTGGTGAAGGTTCCCCTGCTTTGACATTCAACAACAGCATAAAAGGATCTCAATAAATATGTATCATCTTTGTTTAAATGTTTCCACATAATTCCCTCGATCTCCCCCATTCCTGGTGACAGAATTTTAGCTGTCAGAATTTACACGAGACATATCACACTTGCAGCTGCATCAGTATGCCAAGAATGGTGTCTGGGGAGTAGTAATATCCTAACTATCTTCCACAGGAACCATTCACCATAGAACCTCCTCTTGAAATGCCACCCTGGCCTTTTGTTCGCTGACTAGCTTGCAGTCAACACCTGGGGTCTTTGTGCTTCTAGTGCCTTTAAATGAGCTCATATCCTCCACACAGGAGCATTTCTCATTTCCTTCACGTGCTGCACTAACTTTTACATCCCACAGCAAATTGGTTTCAAGCTCTCCAAGCATGTCCTTGGCATCAGCAGATGGAAAGACAGTGATTTTCACGGGGACTCTTGGAGACGCAGAACAGGGAGGTGGGCACCAGTAATACATGGAGTTTGTTGCATCTGGTTAGCACATGCATCAAGACAGCTATCTGTAGTTCAAAGAGCTGGTGATGATGGCCAATAACCCTTTCCAGCACTGCAGCCACAGTTCTGCCTGCTGCATTACAAAAATATGGATGCACTAAGCGGCTCAACTCTCAGACAGTGAAAAAAGTACAAATAGGGGATCAGAAATAGGAAAAGAAGGGCAAAGAATCTCACTGGTAATCCCTGATATGATAAAAAGGAAGAGGAAACCCTAAAAGAGGAGAGAATATAACTTCAGGCAGCTTTTGTGCTTGGATTTTGAAAGAGAAGAAGAGGGAACAGAACTGTGAAGGGAAGCTGTCTGGAATACAGCAGGGGAAGGACAGCATGCAGGGAAGTTGCAGGCAGCGAGGAAAAAAGGACAAAAAAGGAACAAAAGCTCCTTGTGGTGTCAGGACCTTTTCCTGCTCTGCTGACAAAGTGTATGACCCTAAGCTTATTACTTGTTCTGAGACTTCCTCCTGTTCTGATGTAGGCTCTTAAGACTGTTTTGATGGGGAGCAGGGAGGTATTTTTCAGATGCAGTTTCCTTTGATGACAATAAGCTTGCATCCAAATCCAGCAATCCAAGTGCATGGTTGTGTGCCAGGACATCAGCCAGCTCTTGTTTCACACATGATCTCGTGACAGACAGTGTCATCTGCTGAAAAAGATTACTGCAAAATGTGTCTTGCAGTGAGAGATCATGTATTTACTTGGAGGGAAAAAGCAGTCTGCAGTTGGTAAACTTGCTACCTTTGCAGGAGCAAAACACATTTTGTGGTGGCTGCATCTGGGAATAGGAAGAAAATTTCTGGGTGCCATGGGGAACTCCCACATTTTCACCTTAGACCATTGTTTCTCATACTCTAGTGGGAAAGCAAGACAGTCTGGAAGCTTTTTTTATATTCAGCCTGCCTAAAATCACAGTTTAAAAAGTAAGATTAAAAATTTTAAACAAAATGTTTTAAAGATAGTTCAAAGGCAGTTGAAGATATTGGATAATTCTGTTTCTTAGGAGTACAAGTCAACACCTTATAAGGGGAGACAGTTTTTCATGGAGGTATGCTCAGCTTTTTCTGGAAACCATGTTCTTTTAAACTTACCTCAATTACAGACAGACTGTGTTTGGTCCTTTGTAAGAGGATGTGGAGCTATCAGAGTGAATGAAGTTGCAGCCCCTTCATTGCACAATAAAAATGTTACTTGATGAGCATGAAGACTGCAACCACCATATTTTCCCCTGCAAAATGAATTGGATATTCTTGTCTTTATTTTTTCTTCCCAAAATTCATAAGCCTGAGATGGCCCTACACTTTCCCTTCTAATGAATCATTTCCTCCTTATTAAAAAAACTAACTAATGTTGTAACTTTTTAATATTAAGAAAATTTGTCTCTTATACGGGGAGGTTGATGAATGACTTCCTGCTTTCAACTTAAGTAAAGGCCCAAAAACTGAGGAGAGGGAAGCTGGATCATAGCGAGAAGAAACAGGGAAGGAGAACAGTGGTAATGTGAGATTACTTCAGCCCTCTGTGGAATTGCAGCCTGGCATCTTTGGATTTCACAGCCTTTCTGTAGTTTTCACTGGCGGTCCTAGGGCTTCCCTCTCTCCCCTGTGTGTAGCTTCTGCTTGTTTTGTTCCTTCTGCTTACCCTGCCAAGGCAAAAAGTACACATATCTATCAGCACAGAGTTTAGGGTATTAGGAAAGATCCTGTGATAAGATAGGAAAGAGTCTGCATTCACACACACCTTCTTGCTTAATGCAGCAGTTGATCCAACTACAAAGGCTTTGTAAAAAATAATGAAACATTTTGGAGGCATCTATTTGCATTGCCTAGATATTTTCAAAGGAATTTGTAATTCTTGTAACTAGTGTTGTCTTCTTTCAGAAAAGTTAACTGCTTGAGATAAAATTATGTTTCCTTTTCACTGTTTGAGGTCAAAAGGATAAAGAGTGTGTTTTATTGAGTTTTACTTCCTCTTGCCTTTTTGATTACAGGCGATGCTTAGGGTTTAGACTATCTGCTGAGGATTAGTGCAAGACTTGTGCAAATCATAAAGTATGGACATACTGTTTAAATGAAGCTAATGAGGATGTAGGTCTGTTGCTGATTTGCAGCTTGAATGTAACCCTTAGCCTTGACTCTTTAAGCAACGTATAAGTTACGGGAGACTAGAATATTTTGGAGCTACAAGAAAGAAAGGTCTTTGAATAATAAGTTTATTTCAATGTGATTGCACGTCTAGCCATTTTGTTCTGAAATATATGTTGCCAAAACACTGATTGAAAGCCTTTTTAGAGCTTTTTGCTGCTGTGACATCTGGTTTATTGCATGAGAGTACACTATATTTCTGCTTATCTTTACAGAAAGCTTTGGCAGGGGTAGATGATCTGCAGCAAGTGAAGACCCTAGAGATGAGAGTAGATACAAGAGAGATCAGCTTGGGAAACTTTGGTAAGAAAACACTATTTTCTGCTCACCATCTCAAATTTTCCTTTATCATGTCTTGGACTGGGGACTCAGTGACCAACAGCCAATATAAAGTACTGCCCTGCTCAAAGCTCTTGAAACGTGATCTCCCTGCTACCTCATAGTCCTTGATCTGTTTTCTTGTGAGAGGCTCTAAATAGGACTGAAAACTATGGCCATGGGATGAGTGACACCATTTCTGTCTAAAACCAACTATCTTGAACAAATTTTTCTTGTATGATATGTATCTAGGCCCTAAATAAGCATTTACTGATTACCTTGTTCTCTAGAGTACTTGTCTCTAGCGAAACAGTAGCCAAAGATCAGTTCCCTCCACTGTAAGATTTCCCAGTGACTGAGAATTTGCCAGCAATATCAGGTGGCTCATGCTGCCAGCAGCCTGTCTTTGCCTCCTGTACTGCCTCATTGAGCTGTGCTGGAGGAAGGTTCTGTAGATATATCATTTTGATGAGCCACAAACGGCCCTAATGCTTGTGATTCATTTCTATGTCATCATCACTGCACCAGGGAAGTGAGGAGTACCGAAGGAATTCCCTCTGTAGCAAAGTGAACACTGAGAATATAAAACCTTCCTTTTCTTTTTTTTCCCCCCATACTGGCAATCATTCTCTGTCATTTGGCTTCCTACCATAACCGAGTCTATCTTCTGCTACACTGAAGCTGAGTAACTACTGCAGAGTAATATTTTCTGTGCTAAAAGGAGTCATGTCCCCAAAACTGTGTGCTGGTATTTTCAGCAAAGCAGTTAATTTTTCATATGCAAATGACTACAATGTAACAGCTGATTAGCTTTAGTGGGTCTTTTGATGTCCATTTGTCAAGAATAGTTGAGCAAGTACAGTGAAGGGGGCTTTTGTCTGAAATTATATAGCCCCCTTGTATTAGTTATTCTGTTTGTTTCACAAATAGGTCTCTTTCTGATAGGCACTTGATAATTTAAGGTAAATTATATCTGTTTCTTTCAGAGATCATAATCTATTCAGTCATGTTTCCTCCAGTTGATAAGGAAATCTCATTATGCCATTTCTACAATGCTCAAAAGTGATGCTCCCCTTCCTGTAGCATTTTGCATTAGCTGTGATGAGCTAGCAGAATGTTTCACCTTCTTCACTCTCTCTTCCCTTTCCTTTCCTTTCTTTTACTGGAATAAATCCCTTTCTCCTTCCCATGGTTAGGCTTTTGCAACTTCTACAGAATACAGAGCACTATTCCCATGTTGCAAACAATTTCCATCTTGTTTATATCCCACTGTTTGCACCAAGAGTTGGCCCTTGAGGGCCATAAAAACCAGCAGCTGCAGGTCCCCACTGCTTTCGAGAATAACAGAGCATCAAGACCACCCTGAATTTCCTTCTTTTTTTTTTTTTTTTTTGAGTACATTTCTGAATTCCCTTCCTGAGAAAATCTCTTTGCAAATGTCAACAGGTGGCTAGAGCAGTAAGTTTGCCTCTTAATGCTTCCAGTGATCTTCAGTTTCTTGCCATTTTTTCCACATGGCAGATGATTTTTAGGGGTGCATTGAATGAGACCTAAATTTTTAAGGGTATTTCAGAGCAGTTGAGGTCTTCATTGTGGTTGGTGTAAGGAAGATCACTGTTGAAGTTGTCCTTTGCCTTGCTCCCTGCCTGCCCCTGGAACTGTGCTGCTGACCTGCTCTCTGGTCACAGGGGTCTGGAGAAATAGCCTGAGGGAAAGAGTAGAGTAAGAACCAGACCAACCGGAATGACAGAAGTTCCAGTGTGACAGAATGAAAAGCTTTTTCCCTGCTAGGACAGTCGAGCAATAGGAGTATCCAGAGAGGTTTGGAGACTTCATCTTTGTAGGTTTTCAAGACCTGGCTGGGTGAAGACATGAGCACCCTGGTCTGATCTCACAGACAACCTGGCTCTGAGCTTGAGATCTCCAATTGTCCCCTCCAGCCTAGACTGCTCTGTAATTTGGGGTTTTTTTTGCATTTCAGACCTGGCTAATTGGCTTGCTTTGTAGCCATATTAAACCACTTAACCTTGTTCTCACTGTATTCCTTGGCTGTGGAAGGAGCTTCTTTGTCATAGAGAAATTATTTGTTGGATGATTAGTCCACACTCAGTGTATTGTTTTGACTGGTTTTATGTGTAAAGATAAAACAAGCTGTGCAAGCACTTAAATGGCAAGGTAAAAGTGTTAAAAATTTACTGGACTGCACATATGGGTCACCTGGAACCTTGCAGCACTCGAATCCCAAATTTATACCACAGTTTCCACTTGAGAAACATTTCAAGATTCACAGCCTTTGTTACAGATAGTAACACAGACACTCAGGGCCTAAAGATTTCCACACTGATTTAAAACTTGTTGCTTGATGTTTTTCTTGAGACCATTCCAGTTTGGGATGTGCTAAACTTTAAAGCACCATCCTGCTAACCTTTCCCAGTTTGTCAGGTCTGCTTCTGCACGATGGCATGACATGGTGGGAACAGTTACTTTTCTTAGGGATAGGGTGTAGGCTAAAACACAGAAAGACTGTTATCAAGATATTTTCATGTGATCAGTTTTAAAATTAGGGGAAGGGTTCATGCCAGTGCTTGAATCTGAGTACTTGTGGGGCTTGGGGTAATTGCTGAAATCTCTAGCTGTTTTCAGTGTGCCTTGCTGAGTGACAGGGAAAACACTGAAAACCCTGGCAGGTCTTGTATCCAGCTTTGCAGATCTTGGAGCTGATTTCTTTGCTCTTCAGCTGCATGTAGACTTCAGTTCATACTCAAACAGAGGGACTATTTCCTTTTCATTAGCTTATCCCTTCAGTTTTGGTTGCTGACAGATATGGGATTGCATTTGTGACCTGCTCACAGAAATTCATGTTGAAAATAATGGTAAGATAGAGTCATTTAAGACACTACATAGCCCTCTTATTTCTAAGTAATTTCAATACCTACAAATCAAGTTACCCAGAGTGCTCTTCGCTGCTACTTATTGAATTGTTGCCTGCTGGTGGCCAGGCTAAGTTGATTACGTGTCTGATGATTGCCACTTCCATTGCACGCATTTTATCAAGGAAAAGCTCTGTTAAAGGTTCAGAAGTAGGCGTGCGCTGTTTTTCACACAGGGTCCTCCTCTCTCTTTCCTCTTGCCCTGTTTGTTGGCATTCCTGGTGTGGAGCCGGGAGAGGTTTGTCGGTAGCCGGTGTCACAGCAGCAGGTGTTGGCACCGTCAGGGAGCCAGCACAGGGGCTAGAAGTGTGAGTCTGACCCATGCTGGGCTTGGTTTAGCAGGAACTGACAAACCTTGCCAAGTAGGGCTTGGACAACCGGCTGCAGCAGGGCTTGAGCAGGGTCTCCATGAGTCACGAGTATGTACTGGGGCAGCATGCTCATGTTAAACCCTGCACTGATGTGTTTTTTAGGAGATTCACATCTCAGGTAGTTCGACTGCAGCTAGCTTGGGTTTGCCTGCAAGTGCTGCTTTCTTACCTCCAGTTGTATTGCCCAGTTCACCCCAGAAATGTGAAAAAAAAATGCAAGTTGAGAAAATGTGTAGAAGTAACATCAAAGTGATGTATCTTACTTGATCAAATACAATTAAGTAGACTGTTTAATTTACATATCAGGTTGCTCTTGCTAGAAGAGTACAGCCTGTTTTCACATGCCTGTTTCATATTGTAGGATCAACAAAGCATGGAGGTTGCCTGATGGCAGTGCAAGTACTTATCAGTAATTTCTTTTGTGTGCTTTTCACTAGTCCATATTGCAAAAGACATAAGAAGTCAAGCCATGACATTTTTTGTTAACAATAGAATAACAAGATATATGATGCTACCTAAAGAATACTTCCTGGTATAAACAGCGAGTGTTAGAAATGTGTTATAGCTTGTAGGATATAATAAAAACAGCATTTTGACTGTTTTCTCCTTACTCCAAGTCAGTTTTTCAAATGTCACCTTCTGTGCCAAGGCAGCTCAGAAAGACATCTGCATTGCTACCCTGCTTGTGAAGTGCAGCACTTCGGGGCATGTTGTTGAGTGTGTTTGTATTGCTTTTATTCACCTATCTTACACTTTGATTTCTTTCTACTCTTCATTTAGTTTTGTTCCACTGGGACAGTATAGTAGAATAGTTTAACACCAGTACATTGCTGGTGGTTAGTAATTTCAGAGCCATATAACAAAAATGGTATTTATTGAAAGGGAATTGAAGACAGATGAGATAACATTGCTTGTCATTCTGAATTCTCAGTCTTGTCCTGCAATTGTCAGCATTTTTCTGGACCATTCTCCTTTTTGAAATTGGAAATTACACACCATGAAGGCAGTTTCAGAATAAGGAATATATGGTCTGTACATTTGAAATTAACATTAAAAGTTAATATTGTTGGTATTTTAGGGTATTTTTATTTTAGAACAAGACTAATTTGTGTCCTTGCTCTCAGGAAAGATACCATGAGGGTTAAAATTAAGAAAAGTAGAAATATATTGTTACATTTGGGTAGATCTCTCATTTTGTCACATTCATTTTACAGTTTTCTCTTCTTAATTTAATTTTCCAGTTTCTAATGTGTATCTAAGCACTTGGGACTGTAAAAACCAGCAAAATCAATCGTACAATGAATTTTTAGCACCAAAGAAAAATTACATATCAATATGAAATTTAGAGGAGGGAAGAACTTGCAGACTAGCAGAAATATATTGCAGAATATTGTTGTCAGAATTTTGCATGACCACACATAGAATACTTCTATATCAGTCTAGCAAACCGCACATTAGCATAGCACTCTAGAAGTTCCCAGGGATAGATCGTGCCAAAATATCTGAGATGGAGGATCACGTTACAATAATGAAATAGCCAGATGCAAAAATTGTATCATCAGCCTGTCACTCTGCCTCTTTGAATAGTTGTTTTTTTCCTGACTCAGCCCTAAATACGTTCAGTGGAAAGCTTTTTCTCGGGCACATCTCTCCATTGCTCTCGGACTCCTCTTGATTCCTCATTTAAATCTTCTGCTTAATACTACTTCTTAAAACACATTTGCCTTGTAATGCTTTGCAATAGCTTTTGCTTGGTAACCCTTTCTGATTGAATCCATGGCAAGGCTATTACCTGCTGCTGAGCTGGGACTGGAGAGGCTACTGCATCCTTCTCACTCTTTCCTTTAACACTTTGGGGGATATCATTTAATCTTTCTGTCCTTATCAGAACCAGGATGGCAATTTTTTTTAGTCTAGATTTTGATTTTTTTCCATGGGGAATTTCTTAGGGCATGGTTTGTACCTGAGGAAGTATTTGCTCAATAGCTAGTATGACTGCTGTGAATAATTACAGAGATTCTAATATCTCCTCTGCCAGAACTCCAAATTATTTTGTTATAAATGTATACTTGTTTGACATGAGAAAGTATGCCCTGCAGAATAAAGATGCCGTGTTATAATTTGTATTCCAATTTTTATGGATTATGGAAAATGATTAAAAAACAAGGCTAAAAAATTTGCACACTGTGTTTTGAACTTTTTGGTTTTTTCAAAAGAGCTTTGCAAAGACATGAAATTAAATATTTGCAGTATAGCATGAAGATCAATATGTGCATTATAATCACTCCCATGATTTAATAAAATGTTTTTGCCATAACTGCTCTTGTTCTGTTTGGGGAATGAACAACAGAATCTCTTTTGTTTGCTTTGGAGATCCCCCTCCTTTTTCTTTTTCTTTTTTTTTTTTTTTTTTTTTTTTTTTTTTTTTTTTTTTTTTTTTTTTTTTTTTTTTTTTTTTTTTTTTTTTTTTTTTTTTTTTTTTTTTTTTTTTTTTTTTTTTTTTTTTTTTTTTTTTTTTTTTTTTTTTTTTTTTTTTTCCCAAAATTTTTATCCTTTGCAAAGTGCTGGAATGATGTCCTTCTGGACATTGATAAGTCACCCTTGCCAGAGAGTGATTTAAAAGGACTCATAAAAATATTTGCTGAGAACACAATTTAATGTTTCAGCAATTATCCAGTTTGTCTAAAATTGGTGTTACTTGTACACGGTTGCATGTTATACTGGAGGATGCTCACCAGCCTTGGGTTAGCTCTGCTAGTGGGAAAGGGTAAAAGTTTGTTATTGTCAATAACAAATGTTTCCTGAGACTTACGTCCAAATTATTCTGTAGCTTGGAGGGATATGGTGTATGATTTTGGTTCAGAGACACCTTTAGAAGCAACTAGAAAGGCAAATGTCTCTCAGGGATAGAAAAAACCAAAAAAGCATTAATTAAAGTAACAACAACAGAGTACTGAGGTTTTCATAGATGTGAAACTTGTACAATTCAATACTAAACAATTGTTCAGATCCAGAAAATTAAAAAGGAGAAAGCAGTAATGTTTTGGGGACCTCAGATCTATAAAAGATGATGTGACATGGAGCATTATGTTTTTGTTGTTTGACTCAAAGTTACATTTTGAAGAACTGTCACTGTGTATCCAGTTAAGTCGATCACTACTTTCCATTAAATAGTTCATGGAATGCTATTCTCTAAAGCATCCCTTAGCCCTTCAGAGTATCACTCAGTTAATAGTCAATAAGGATGCGGAATCAGACCAAAGAAAACAGACATCTCTGAAGCCAGTTTCTGTTTTTGTCTGTCTGGAAAGGTGCCTGTCAGAGAGGGGTTCAAAAAATTATAATTGGGTAGTCATGCAGACAATACGTATATGTTTCAAAAATGCAAGGGATGAAATATTTTTTGAGTGAAATAATCTCATGGGTTTTCTTAGAAGCAGTCCAGCACAGATCTGACAGAAGCAGCTAAACAGCAAAATTAGATGATTTGACTTTTAATTGTCCTAAGTTTCCTTTACTCTCATCCCAGGTCTGCAAAGTGATTCTTTATTCCATTCTCATAGGTGTGCATCTACCTAATCTGAGAGAACTGAACTTGAACAATAGCTTGCTTGTGTCTGTGAGGTAAGAAATTAATGACTCTATAAAGTTAGTATAAAGAATAATAGCCCACGATTTTATTTAAGTGGTAAAATCTTCATTTGTGCTGCTTTCATTTATTCCATTTCTCCATGCTACAGTAATGGATTAGGTCATGAATATATGCTCTGCTACTACAGAAGTTTAAGGACAGGACCCGAGCTGGAATAAATCAGTGTAGCTGCAATGGTGGCAATGAATTAGCCCTAGTCTTCCACCAGGGAAGTTCCTGCCATGCTGACATCCATGGAAATTTGTTGCAAATTTGAAAGGAGCTAAAAACTCACCTCTTATCTATGTCTAGGTGCTTGGATTTCAGAGTGTTTCAGCATTTGGGCTTTTATTGTGCACAGTAAACTGTTCTGTACAGGTCAGACCAGTTCCTCAGCTGATGAAAATCACTCTGGCTTTATTGAAGTTAATGAAGTTGGGTTTATAAAAGCTGCTATGAAGACTGCGTGTCCCTGGCTTACTGAGCTTCATGAAATCCTCACCTGTCTTCTCCCAGACAACTGGGGAGTTGGTTGGTTGGAAAGGTAGAAGTGAAAACCATCACGATGAGGAGGCAAAGCTGTCTGCTCTTTCCTGTGCTGATACCTGTATTACCCTTGGTAATTATTAGTGGAAAAATACAGTTCATATCTCAGAAAAGGGCTGTATAAAAGGCCATCTTTATTTTAAACAGGACTGCTCTCTGGCTTTGTATGGCTATCTGCTAAATTTGTGGGGGATAAAGGTAATGGTTTTGCAAATTCTTGGTTAAGAGAACATGTTCCCTGATAAGAAATGGCAATAAATTCTGTTTGGTCTCGCTCAAGTTGCTAATGAACTTCAGTTGTCACACTTTGATCTTATTTTCCCTTGTTCTGGAGATGAGACGAAGTATCTGCAGTCTGAATTTTGCTTTTCCCACCTTGTAGTCCGTAACATGTAAAAGTAGTAATTCATAATTGCTGCAATTATTTTAATAGCAACCAACTGTTGTCATAAGCATGAAATTGCTCCATTATGGCAATGGAGGATTAAGTATTGGGTAAAAAAATTACAATTTGACAATATCAGAAGATATTATATTAAAAAGTTAAAAAGTGTTTCTTAGTTTGATCAAAAATCTATATTCACTTTAAAATATGTCAGTGGAAAATGTTTTGACCAGTTCTATTGGTATTGAATATAGAATGCAGTTCAGGAAAGCTAAATTGTTTGACTGCTTTTTAGCAGGATTTTGCAGCTTTATATTCTGAGACTCTAATTTCTGTCATGAGAAACTCCAGCACAGCATTTTCTTTGACCTGATATTTTTGTGGTTTTTTGATGCAGGTAATGTTTGATCTCAAGTTGAGGGGTTTTTTTTTTTGACCCACTATAATGTAAATATGTTTGGGCTTGGATATCAAGTCTTAATATTGTGACAATTCCCAGGCACACAAATCCCAGGAGAAGCTACCTGCTTCTCCTTTATATAAGTGTCCTTTCTGCGTGCCAGTTAAATGCAATTTTCAGGGAATAGGTAAAGGAAGAAGACGACGACTTTCTTTGCTCTCCCAGACTTGAACTCATTCGGTATAGTTACAGCAGTAGCTTTCCTTTAGTAATTCCCACCTTTGACAATCTGTCATTGATAAACACATATCATTTAAGGGCACATCCATGCAAGCACAGCCTGGGTACTTGAACTTTATTTTTGGATGTCTGCATCATGTCAATTTAATGCCCATTAAGGCAACATTGTTGCCACAGCAGTGGCAATGCCTGCTATAGCTAATGTAACATAGCTGCTTCCATTCTAGCAGGCTGTTGCCATTTACTCCAAAATTGAGAAGTCTTATTTCTGAATTAATCTTGTTAATATTTGAATTCTGTCCAAAAAGTGATTATTTTGTTGTATTCAACCAAACCCTTGAAACTGAGGCTTTTGAGGATGATAGAAAAAAAAATGTTCTTCCTTCTCACTCAAAAGTAGTTCCCTCAGATTTTGTCAACCATAAGGTCAGAATCATTGTGGTTGTAATTTGAAAATGGGCAGCAGATAACAGGAAACAGCTCATAGGGTCAGACTGTAAGATTAGATTGTTTACTAAAAAGAAGGTAAGGACAAAAAAAGCAGGCAAAAGATAGAGGGTGCTTTGTACATACTTGGAATGTTAAAAGCAGACATTCTTTTCATGCCATTTTACGTGAAAAAACATGTGATTGTGAATTACTATAAACAAAAGACTGTGTGCCTTCATGAGTGGGTAATAAGATGGGAAACTTTGTTTTTTGACACTTTCTTTTTGTTTAGTTTTGTCTTGGAGAGTAGAATTACCTAATTACTTTAGGATGAAATGGAATTAAAGCGTCTCCTTTCATTTTGAAAATGGGGAAAGAATTGACTTGATAGTAAACAGGATATAGGGAGACGTCAAAACCAAGATTTATGATCCTGACTTCAGTTTTTGAGATGTTTATTCGTGTCAGCCTCACATAGGAACTTAACTTGTGAGGATGCTGAGGTGTGCATTGCCATTCGCCTTTCAGTAGAACTCAAAGGAGGGAAATGAGGAATCAAGGTATTCATGTATTAGAGTTTTCTATGGGAGAGCAGGGTTTGCTAGGCCAGTGAATCTGGATATTGGCTTCTCCTGGTAGTTCCTGAAGTTCTGATTCCTTTGATGGGGCATGTGGTTGAGATACTTTAGTTGTCAATTTGTAGTCCCTCCCCAATCTTCCTAAAGCTTGCATTACTTTTGAATACTTGAAACTTCAGAAGGCTATATGTAAGTGTAGGATGTCATTATCAACTATTTAATTTAACCCAAAAGGAAAATATATCCAAGTTTATTTGCAGATAATCATTCTTGGCAGTTGAAAGGGAATTTCTTTCTTGGCTGTTTCTGGGTTTTGGTTTTCTACTGGCCCTTTGCTAAAGGGGAACAGCTCTGGAAAAATCAATGTACCGTGAAAAGAAATCAGTTCATATTGTTGTTAATTTTCTAAATCACAATAATTTTATTATGTCTTTGTTTGGTGACCTTCACCCATCTGCTAGTAGCTTAGAAATTCTAGATTTAAGAACTGATAATCGAGAAGGAAAAGTCAAACCTATTCTAAAGAGTGCCTGGTAAAATCTGCCTTTGTGTCTGTGTGATGACCATGGTCCTCATCTTTGTGATGTTTCCAGTAAAAGAAGTATATTTCAAGGCCACTGAATTACTTCTTCTGCTTTGGCACATAGCCTATATATTTTTTTATCTGATTGCTTTTATTCTCAATTCAGAGATGAATGAAAAGATCCATTTAAAAATGTTTAGATAGATATCTTTACGAAAGGGCTTTTAAATCAGATAAGGGGAGCTTAGGAACTGGTTCCCATAAGTTTATAGCAGAAGCTGTTTCACCAGCTGAAGTTCATTTCCTCCCATTCAGCTCTACACATTGTAGCCAGCAGAAGACTGATCTGCTTTCAGGGCTACTTGAGCAACTGCTTGTAACAGGGAGAGCTCATAGTTTAAGTGAGATGAAATGCAAAGACTTCAAAATGTGGGGACAAAAGTGAGTATGAGGGATATTTATCCAGGTAGAGTTAACATTTCATTGCTGCGGTTCTCAGATTGGTCTGGCACTATTGCAGAAGCACCTCCCAGAACAAGAGAGCAGCAATCTTGGTCCATTTCAGTCAGTAAAATCATCAGAAAGTTCAGATGAACAAGGTGCAGATTACATTTAAAATCAACAATTCTCATGCTTTTATGAGCCTTAAGGGTATTTGTTTTGCTTTGTTTTTTAGCACCAGCTCCTGGAGACAAGACTACCTACACAGGAATCTCTGTATTCACTTTTTGGAATGTTTTAAGCCCTCTTGGCTGTGAAAAAAATAACTGAAAATGTGAGCCAAGTGATTTAAGTAAGGGTTTTGCTGATCATTTCATGACTTTAGGAAACCAGAGGCAAATAAATTCTTTCTTAATTAAGGGCAAGGGCTTTAAAGTAATGTTTAAAAATACTTTTGAGACCTGAATCAAGATCTTTAGGTATTTGAACTTAGCAATATAACTCCTTGGTACTTATCCAACAAAGAGTTTAAGGAAATGTGCACCTCTTAAAGTCACACAAAGTTGGCCTTCGATGGCATTACTCACAAGCTGAAAATTAAAAATTGATCCAAGTGCTTTGCTGGATCTGGGTCAAGTTACACCATCTTGTATAAGACTGAGCTGTGATACTTATCACCCCAAGACTTGATGTATTGCTGATAGTGTGTGTCTAGGCATCAACTATTTGCTGGATGGTTTTCCCTCAAACAGGAGAAATGTGGGGGCATCATTCCCCTAAATTTGCTTTTTTCCTTGTCTTTTTTACTTCTTCCTTTCCTTCCTGTCTCTTTTTTTTCCCCCTCCAGTTTGCTTTTTCTTCTGCCTGTCATTTCTAATCTTTTACAATTACAATGTTTGATGCATTTAACACAGGTGGCACACGTAAATGCAATGTCTTGTGCAACAAGGATCAGCATTGCTTTTATGATAGATAAAATCCACAGATATTTTCTGAAATCAATTCAGTTGCTTGGTTTGCATTAAGAGTGCAATTTTTTGTCAAGAGATGATTTATTTGTATTACAGTGTTTAGCGAGGGATCAGGGTCCTCTTGCTCTGTGTTGTACTTACACGTGCAGTCAGGGAACCACTGCTCTGATTTGGTCTGGGTGAATTGCTTCAATGCCCTTATTTCAGTGCCCAGAGCATCATGGTTTATTTTCACATTTGCATTCCAGGGTGGGGAAAGCATTTAATTTCAAATGCAAGCTAGTTTCTGTAGGAAGCATTTCTGTTAATTCTTTTGTGTAGCCAGCCTGAAAGTCCTTTACTGCTTAAGGTTGCTATGAAGTCTCTCTTAAGAACATGTTCTTTGAGGAATTTGGGTGCTTTCCAGGAACTAGGAAAGCATTTAAATTGAATCTTAATCTCTGTATTAATGAGTCTTCTCTGTATTAATGCCTGCAGATC